CAGCTGGGTCTACCCAGAATTTTATGTAGGTCACCAGCCTTCTGAGACCCTGCCTGTGGTAGCCTGGTGGCTTTTTGCACTTTGCTCAGCAATGCTTGTCAAGAGTCATCAGGAAAACCATCAAAGTAGACACCTGAGCTCAGATCTCAGGTCTCAGTGACTTTTGATGGGACTGACCAAACTGTGTGCTTTTAAAAATCCACCCCTAGTTCTCTGCAAAATGATGGCTTCCCATATGGTCTGTTATGCTTACAACTGTGAGTGTTTGGTGATTTGTGACCTCCTCTCACTCATTATCACTCCACTTAATGTCATGGCAAAAGAAGGGTAATAATTCTTTTTTTTGCAATTGTAACTAAAATGCTGCCAGAGCAGAGGGTATGTGTTGGCCAAGGTCTTTATTATGCAACTGTATGCAGATCACTGTGAATTGCATCGTCCATCTAGTTCAGTGATGCAGCACCAAGGTCACTGGGCAGTTTTAAGCTAATGATGCAACCATAAGTCTAATAAATGTGCTCAGTAACCACAGCAAACATATTGTCATTGTCGCAGATGTTATTCTTTCAAAAGCACTTGGCAAACAACTAAAACACAGCCCTTGTGTTTGCTTTGACCTCCTCTAAGATTGCACCATCAGGATTACTGAGAAGATGAGATTCTTTAAGAAGACAAGTCATGGCCTACAGCTACAGTATTGGTATTGCTCATAGCACTCTTGCAGTTTGCTTAGAATAAACAGGCAAGAGAATAACTGAACATGAATCAGTGAAATTTTGACAGAGAGTACACTTTGGAAAAAAATGTATCCATGAGTGATATCAACACAGGTAGAGATCAATTTCTTATTACAATGATTTAGGCAAGTCAACTTTCATTATGGTGTTGATTTTTGTAGCCATCATTATACAGTAACCCATTACATGCTGATCCAGTAACCTTTTCTTATCTTTCAGGAAATATACTAACCAGTAACGGCATTGTGTCACCATGAGCTTTGTCATTATATGCAGTGATTCCCCACAGGGCTTATCAAATGCTGCAATTGCTGTTTCTTTGGAAGGATATACATCATCTCCCAGGCTGGGTTCAACAGATGGTTGATATTATGCCCTGAAAAGTGGCAATCTACTGTTCAGAACTTGTTGCAGCTCCAGTGTCTTGCACCCTATCATATATATGTATATCTCTATTTTTGCAAATGTCTATGGATATATATTCAAATGTCTATGGATATATATTCTTATGTACATCATGAATTCTTATCTGACAGGCATGAAGAAGCCCACAATGGTCTGACCACTAAATATGCTCTTGACAATAAGGGAGAAAAAGGGAATTTAAAACCAAGCACAATCTCTTGAATTCTTGCTTCATTTATAATAATTATTGATAGGAATAAAGATGAGTAATTCAGCCTTACTGTAGAATTCACTTAAGACCATTCAGTGAACAGAGAATGCCAATGTGTGAAGATGGCTGTTTAGCAAGGCACTGAAATAAAGTGATGGCAAGAGAGGTCTAAGTCAAGACACAGAGCTGTCTTTTCTCAAATGACATAAACAACACAGTCATGAAAGGAGGTCACAGTTTTGTACATAAGCCCTGTGTGGCTTCCAAGCTAAAAAACCTATAAAAATATTACCCTTTGCTAATGGAGCATTTTCACCAAGAAGCACAGCATGTGCCCAACTCAATGTGTCAGCAGCTTTCTGCCCTCAATTCAGCTTACCAACAGTTAAACCATTCAAGGTCATACTATAACCTATTAGAGATGACATGTGACAAGATGATTTTTGATAAAGAGTAGAACTTTGGTACTACAGAAGTGGCCAGGGAGAGGAGGTCTCCATATGCAACCTCACATTTTGTCAGCAGCTGCTAGTCAGACATAAAAACATTTTATTGCCCTTGCATAGTCAGCCACATGCTGTAGTTTCCTCTCACTCAGAATATGTTCACTTTCATACCGCCCTGCATTTAGCTGCAATAGAACAGCAGAATGTTTACATTACAGTAGAATGCTGCATGCTTTTATCTAAGGGCGACCTTGAGTATGCCTGGCACACAAGAAGTGCAGTGGAAGGCAGGCAAACACTTTTTCTCCTACACCTCTGCCATACTGTCTGTCCCCCACTTATACCACCCTTTGAATTTAAAGAAAGGACCTTCGCAAATGTCCATTTTTGTGAGTGAATGCACATTAAGAACATTTCATGTGCATGCTATGAAGAACAAGAAACCTAAGACAGATTAGAAAACTTCACTCTCCAAAACCAAAATTATTTTCCCCTTTATGTTCTGAAGCTTATTTGTAAGTCTCATTAATTTTTTTTACTCTTTGGAGTAAGAAGCCTGAATTAAAAATCAGTATGTGACCCATTACTATTTTATAATCCTCTCTTTTGCAAGTGGAAAGCAACAGTTTGCCAATCCTGTATTTAAACTTTCATGGAAAGATATGAGTGAGTTAAATATGAGAGCCCAAGCAAAAGAAAGCACAGGAAAGCTAGAGGGTGTTGGGAAAGCCTGTCCAGAGAGTCAGAACAAGAGCTTATTACCAAATATACTTGTTTTAATATATGTGTTATACTTGATCTTAGATCAAAATAACATTTATTTTTCATTAACTAACCGTTTGTGCTAGTCACCATAATATTTTTATATTTAGGAAGTACACACAAGAATAACATTGTCAAAAGCATCACCATGGCTGTGCTGACCTTCAGAAAGGAGAGCTGGATAATAATGAGGAATCTTGTTTCAAAGAAGTAGAAAGACATGTAAGACAGTTAAACCCTCTCAGCCAGCAGAGAGACTCCTGAAGGACACCAAACTGGGAGCACAGCACCAGCATGTGCCACTTACTGGAAATCCCTTGGGGAAAAGGTAAAAGGAAATTGGCACAGAAAAACAGAAAAGCATGGGAAGTTACTGGAATTAAGATTTTAGCATTCAAAATTATGAAGACTAGAATTAAGATCTTAGCATTCAAAATTATGAAGACGCGTCTCAGTGAAGAAAAGTAAGAAGTTACAAATTCTAAGAAAATAAACATAAAACTATAATTAGACTACCATTTGCTTTGTAAATGTTGTGGCAAAATTTCAAGGTGTTCATTTTCCCCATAAGTAATTTGACTTGTCTATGGCATCAAAAGACAAATTGATGGCTCCATTCACTGCTTCCCCTGCCATTCATATCATGCAGATCAGTATGAGAATGAACATAAAGTGCTGCAGAATAGAGCCATTTTATACTTGTTTTAGACAGTAAGAATGATAATATGAAGTCTAGGACAAAAAGGGATCTAAATGTTTCTAAACCATCTTTTCTGAACTCTACAACTTGTGCAGCCATATGAATCTGTCCCTATTCAGATATGAGAATGCCATTAATGCATAGTAAATCAAAGTGCCGGACTTTTATATCCATACCCTGCAGTCACTTGACACGTTTATCTGTGCCTTATTACTGTCAGATTTACTCCCTGATACAGCAGGGCCAAATTTATCATGTTTACATTTGCTGATGTTCCAAATTCACACAATTCCCACTCATATGCAACTAGATCCTGCCTAGTTACAGCCACAATTTGCTCCAGGGTCATGCCTCCAATTTGGCCTCTCTGTTCCCATTTTCGTAGCTTGCAGTAAAGAAATGGATAAATGCAGCATTTTTTTCCATAAATGAGTTGTGATTTTTTAAGGAATTAGCTAAGTATACATTGCCTTTTGTTTACTTCTCATGACCTGTAGTCTGAACTAGTTCTGCTGGAATTCAGTAAAATGAATTCTAGAATGGCTTGCATAAGAGTTCTTAAAAAAACCAAACCCAAACACAACAGCAATGAGAAATATTTTTGCCAAAGGCTCTTGCAATTCAGAAAGAGAGTCACTAGCTTGAGGACAAACTGATCATCTAATTTACCTCTGAACTGAAAAGGATTAGGAATACAATTTTGTGTATTCTTGAACAGCTTTGCCATACTAAGCTTCTGCCTAAGTGCTTGCAGCATCAGGACCCTTTGTCCCAGAACCACTGGCCTGCTGTGTAGGAAGAAAATATTTTTTAAACAATTCAACAAAGAATTGAAAACAATCAATTGAGGATAATCAAGATCATAAGAACATGCATCAAGAAGAAAGGCACCATAAGACACTGAAGAAATAATCTGCTACCATTTATTTCCCTCACATTTCCATTTATTTCATCCATTTATTTTTCCTAGCTCTTTCTATAACTATCTTCATTTTCTCTTCTACTTCATACTTAGATTTTTTTATGTTGTGATTGCACCTATCTCCAATTCCTCTTAATGGCTTGATATTTCTAATACTATGTTTTAAAATATCTCTTGTGCATTCTGTACTTTATTGCCATTATATAAATGTTTGGTTCCCCTAAAACTAAAAATAGCAAATAGATTTTTGAGGTGCAGATAAAATGATGGAGATTTGTATTTTGCCTGTTCAAATACAGTTCTTTCAGGAGACATTTTTAGGGTTGCCTTTACTTTGTTTGGTGCTTTCCTGCAGTTACAGCAGGCAGTGGTTTAGTGAAAATTTCAAAATAAAACATTACTGTGCATTAAAAACAGTACAATGGGGTTTTGGACACCAGCACCTCTTTAAAAGAAAAAAGAAAAAACAAGACTACATTCCTAGGTTCCCTCTGTTGTATCAGCCTGTTCCTGGCCAATTCTTCAATGTCACAAAACCAGGTCACTCAGTCTTTTGTCACAGAAAAAACCTCAAACCCAAACATATAAATTCTGGACAATAATTAGTAATTATATAAGATGGCAAGCTGTTTTTTTTAAAGCAAATAAATATGCATTTTTGCTTGATTTACTATGTCCAATAAATATTTACATAATTGCATTCTAGTTACTCTCTAGCATATGTATTATACTATAAATATAGTATAATAAATAGTATAATAAATATACTCAGAACATGATTTTTAATTTTAATTATAATTGATATCTTTTTTTGCATTTTTACTACCTTCTCAATATAATTTCTTTTCTTTAAGCTGTATGACTGTCAAAACACCATTATTTTAAGGCTATCTACCTGTTAGCTTGATTTTTTATTTCATTATCAGCCATTAAGAAATAAACAGTAAATAAGAGAATCTAATTTTGTTAATGGAACTTAACTCTAGGCAATCCGAAAATAAGTAAACAAACCCTTGTCCCTCCAACAACCATAAACAGACTGTGAGAAGACTGCCAGAAAATACATCTCAGAAAACTGTTAGAAGTGCAAAAAGTCCATAAAGTAAAGCACATGGGTATGCAATCAGGAGCTGCTGTCCTTCCATAGCCAGTGCAGACGTAAAAATTTTGGAGGCTGACAAACTGCACCATCCAATAATAAACAGGGCTAACACAGTTCCTGGGGTCCCCCTAGGAGAAAACAAAACAAAACAAAACAACACAAAAGAAACATGACAGAGTCCACATATTACTAAGTGTAGCATCAAATCTTACCAAAATTAAGTTCATGTCATTGATGGGTAACACCCAATGGAAGAACCAAGAACTAACTGACATAATCCAAGTCAAGCATGGGAGCAAATGAAAATTGTAACTACAAACAGAAAAAAATGTGTTCAGCCTGGATAAAAGCTTCATCAGAAGTACTGCTAAGAGCACTGTACATTTACAAATAAATCTGGGCCTCCAGCAGATGCATCTGCTTAAGTTTAATATTAAATTTAGCCAAGTTTATAACGCAGAGAACAGATTTTAAGGGTGCCTTAGACACTCAGGAGAGGCTCTGAAAGGCTCACACCAGCTGGACGGGCAGAAAGGTCTCCCAGGAAAAAGCCTGACTGGCCTTTTAAAAAAGTGAGCACACTGAGCACAAAGTAAGGAGTGGGAAAAGAACCACCAAGGAAAAATATTTTGCTTATCTCGGCATCCTTCTCTGCACATTGAAAGGACTGTAAGTTTCCACCCTACCTCTTGGTGACAGCTGAGCCCATTTGAAGTTACACTGTGCCCCCTTCCAGGAGCAGGGAGGCCTGGAGAACTGATGATTATGGGACTATGGTTAAAAGCCCACTGAAATACTCCTGCAGATTACAGAGGGCTCACTATTAAACCCTGTGGGAACAAAATCTTGCCAATAAATAATGTTCCACATATGCTTTATTTGCACTCTATTTGCAGCCTGCTTCTGTAAAATGCATGAGATCATGTGCATAATACACTGCTGAAGCACATAATGAGATAGCTACTTTGCACACTTTAGCTCTGTCAGTCTCAAGGACTTGGAGAAAGAATAAACCTCTGCCACTTCCTAAAGGCCCTCCTGGCTCCCCACTCTCCCAAATCATCAGCATAACAGAAGCACAAGGGAAAAACTGACTGCGTATACATACTCAGGTAGGTCCTTTTATCAGAAATTATCTCCACTAATATAATTATTGCAACTAAACCATGATGAATAAATCTGTCCTTATGTAATTGACTTAGTTTACTTAATGCATTCACATCACATAAAATAGTTGATTTCCTAGCAATCCAGTCACCAGGCCAATAATGTACTTGGTGTTGCCAGCTCTTGGGCCTTTGAGGGAGGAAGGAAAGAATTGATTTCATGGTGACTCAGCACCTCATTGCAACTTCAACAAGTTAAAAATAAAACATTAAAGACCATGTGATTTAATATCCTCGGTTTAAGTGTTTTATAAACCAATATAGTGGCATTTAGGGAAATTCCACTGGGCTATGCAAAGCAAGTTGCTGGTCTCTCCTCCAAGGAGATGCTAAGTTGCTCACCTAAACAGTAAGCCAGAAATTCAGAGCTGGCAGGGATGGCTCTTTGAGCAGGTACCCTTGCTGGCAGAGGGATGGGATGCAATAGGAACATACTGTGCAATGACAATTTTCAGCTAACATGACTCTTTGGGGTCATTTTAGAGTTGTGGCTGCTCTGCCTTGCACTGAAGTCCAATGGCCTCTCATGGGCTGTTCCAGGACTGGCAGAGAGCAGGATGGAAAGGTGGCATAAAACAATCACATCAGGATCAAGAGGTACCTCTGTGCACTTACAAATTCGGTCCTCAATCTAACAATGTGATACTGCTAAAATGAATGGTTTGGCAGAGAGCTTTCTGTCTGGCATGAGGGTCAAATCCTCTAGATGGGAGAGGGGCAAAAAGCACAGGTCATGCTTACAGTGGCCAAGAGGAGTGGGGCTGTACTGGTGTGAGATTGAGATGGAGGGACACATGTGAGTGGACCAATTCCACTTCTCTTTCTCTCACATCCTGCAGATGCTGTCACCAAATGGGTTCTCTGTATCAGCTGGGTGTAAGAATTGCTATCTTGATGCTTACATTAACTTCCTTCACTGTTTAGTTAAGGAAGTAGCTTTACCACCCTGTTTGGGGATTTGATATTAAAGAATTGTTGTTGCTTTCTGCAGGAAAAAAGTCTATTGATATTTCTCCCAGAAAAAAAACCTAATAAACTTGGGCTCACACATGAGAACAGTATAGATGGACACAAACAAATCTAGTTCCATGCAAATTTGAGTAAGAGAACTGGTATTCTCCTTGGTACTATTTAGTACCCCAAACATTCCATATTTTGCTTTATTTATTTACAGGGAAATAGCTAATCATGAAAATTGAAAATTATTAGATTAGTATGTATCTTTGCCATAGATGAGTGCATTATCTTATGTATACTTTTGGTGAAAAAAAATCCAGATTATTTCTTTGGACTTTGAAATAGAAGTAATGTTTTTATAAATATTTTTAAAAATCATAAATGTATTGCTCTTTCTTTTACCATTTAAAATATTTTTTAAAATTAAAAAAAAAGAAATGTGTGTTGGATTTTAAAGTTGCCACTTAATTTTAATAGCATGTTTGCAATAATTAACCTTGGTACTTGATATGTTCAAGCAGTTTCATATACCAAATGAGAAAGGACTGCAGAACCCTGTCAATAGGTACTTAATGTTAGCAATTCATTTCAGAAATACCAGTTCATTTTTGTCAAGTCTATCACATTTTAGTATTTATAGATTTTCAAAAGATGGGCTTTCTGTAAATTCACAGCATTTTACAAACGTGTAGTGTCTGCCTGGGGACTCCATGTACAGAAAACAGTACCCAGCACAGTTGTAACAGCTGGTTTGGAATTCACCCCATCTGTCTTATGATTATGTATCTGCACATTTTATTAGGCTGGATTATTAAACAGGTTAATCAAGAAAATATGGGAAGTGTAGGAGAACAGAGAATAAACAGCTTCTTTAGTGTCATCATCCATCTTATCAAAGACAGTTCAGAAACACTTTAATACATGGGATATAGTCAGGTTAAGCCATCATAGCTTCTCAGAAACACGCAACAAGAATTTTTTCCAAAAATTCATTCCACCATATAATTTCCTTAAAATATAAATAAATAAATATGCACATATGTAAGAACAATGCTTTTCCAAAGAAAACAAACACGGGCATTTTCTCGTCCATCAGCAGCTAGGTTCCATATGTTACAGACTGGAGAGTTAAAAATATGCGAGAACAAAAAAGACTAAGGAGGGAAACCATCATTAATAACATGTTAACAATAGACAAATGCACTGCTCAAGGCCTTCAGGCAAGATCTGGAACTTGCTTGTACTTTGCTGTGTGTGAACAGGGAGATAAACACTGTGTCTCAAAGGGCTTCCTGAACGAGGAGAAATGAGAGGCTTGCCAAAAAGTTTCCTATTCAGAGAATATAACTGAACAACACCCCACATGTGCATAGATACTTACATCACTACACATTTGGTTTTTCAAAGTATTCTGTTTTTTTCAGGCTTGCACTTGCATAACTATACTTCAGAATATACAAGCCTGTCACAGACATCTTTTATGAAAATCCTTTTCTTAGGATTTTTTCCTGCTGAGAAGCTGAGAGGTTTCAGCAATAAAATGTAAACAATGGTTATCTGCTGCTCTGGAATGCAACAGGTCCATCTGTGATTGGCCCATCTTGGATGTTTACAATTAATGGCCAACCACAGCCCAGTTAGCTTGGACTCTCTGTCCGAGCCACAGACCATTGTTATTCATTCCATTCTATTCTTAGCTAGCCTTCTCAGGTGAACCCTTTCCTTCTATTTCTTTTTAGTATAGTTATAATGTAATATATATATATCATAAAATAATAAATCAAGCCTTCTGAACATGAAGTCAAAAACTTTTGTCTCTTCCCTCATCCAAGAATCCCCTGTGAACACTGTCACACAAGTCTACTTATATCTTGTCCGAATTCTCCACATCATTAAGGGTAACTTGGCTATTTCATTCTGTCCTACAGAAGTCAGTAGGAAAGTAAACATAAAGATGGGAGGCCAGATGCTATGAACAAAAAAGAGGCAAGAGAACTAGCTATATAAGGCCAAAGTTCAGCAATTGCTTTTAAAATTGATACCTGAGTTTGGCTCTGCAAAACAAAAATCACATCTGAAGCTGCTGCAAAAATCAAAAGCACTCCCAGTCCAAATGGAATGAAGTGGAATTGAAGACTCATCTAAATTAATGCATACAGCCCTCTCAAATACAGTCCAGTTTTGTCTGTTTCCACCTAAACATAAAATCAAACTGGTGTTACAGTTTTAGAAACCAAAATTTACTACACGACCACATATAAAATGTTTTGCACAACGCCAGCCACCTGACTTACTGTCCTTCACAGGACTCCCACTGCCATAGGCTGGTACTTACTGCAGAGAGAAGAGAACTGCAGCAGAGGACAGGAGGACCATGGGCAGCAGGCAGTAGCCCAGCACACTTGCAACACAGCCGGGAGAGACTCCCGAGACGCTCATCAGGTTCAGCAGGGCATGCATGCCAAGGCACCCGATGGCACTCATCCCGTACACGTAGCCAAAATGAACTTTCCCTGCCTAGGATAAATAAGAGGAAGCATGAGCTGGCAGAGGTGAGCAGTGATCACTAAGTGCTAGCAGAAGACAGATTTAGGTTTACGTTTGTTATTTCTTGTTGACACTTTCTCTCTGCTTCACCTGCATCAGTTCAGTTGTGAACCACAGATGATACATTTGAGTGATTTTTGCATAAAAATAATTCCAAGGTGCAATTGACAAAATGTGCTTGTTGCTAACTTAAAGTTACAAGGCTGATTCTCACTTACTTATGGGGCTCTGAACACAACTGGAATTGGTTGAGAGATTTGGGAAAGTTTAAGTGGCAACAAACTAAGAGGAAATTATGGAAAGCACATTTTAGTCATTAAAAATCAGTTTAGGCTCAGGAAACATCTTTTCAATAAGTGTATATGGGGCTGTGAAAAAGTGTCCTAAGTAACATGATGACTCAGGTTACCTGATGTGCTTCACATTTTATTACAAACCTTCAGCTATAAACAGGTATGCAAAAAATTGGGAAAATTTTGCTTAAATTATGGTGGTTTTCAGGGCAAATGTGACTGGTTTTTCCCTTGACTACCATGAGAAGGATACATTTCTGTGCTTAGACCAACACAACATGTTCATTTCAACATAAAACTCAGCGGTAACTGTCAGCTTATGTTCGTTTTTTGTTCTAAAAAATGAAAAAAATCACAGATTTTTTTCCCTTCTAGGTTTTATTCCTTTGTTTGAATTTATTGCCTATGAAAGGTACCAGCCTGGCAGCCTAGAGCTTGATGTTTTCTAATTTATACACAAAGCTAGTAAAACAGGCAACTGTGGCCACAACACCACCAATTCCTTCATCTCCTGCCATCATTTTGAAGGATCCCTCCAGGCATAAGGGCATTGTTCACTCCCCAAAATAAACCATCACAAAAGACTGTTAAATATGTTTTTGTCTCTCTCTCAAGCTTCTAACAAATTAAATGCTGAAAGTCAGCTATGCAATACTGTCATTTTCACATCTGTACATGAGATAAACATTCATAAATCAGAAATCTATTTTTTTTCTTGGAACTTTGAATCCTAATGATAGAATGCACCTGTGAAGGAGAAAGTTCAGACCTAGAACTTAACCATTAACTTAGAACCATGAGTGAACTTCTCAAATGAAGGACCACTATGCATCACCTTCCTGACATATAATAAGGTGTATGCAGACACATAAAACACAAGTGCGCTTGTTCATACACACACACACACACACACACACACACACACACACACACACACACATTATATATCATATATATAGATATATTGAGTATGACAAACCCCAGAAGACTCAAAACTAATAGAAGGTCTCTGTTTCCTAATAATGCTGTGGCTTATGGTTGGATTCTGTTGAGACAGATTAAGTGGAAACATGCTGAAGCTTGTATCATGTTTTGTGATGCTAGTTTATCTTCCATGATGGCTAAGGAGGATTGAGAAGATCTCTGGCTTTACTTATCCCTACATTTTAATGAAATCTGGGGGAAATCAACTTTGAGGACCCTTTTCTGACCTCTCTTTCTGTATCCATGCATGTGGAAATCGATCACTGGATGCCAGCAGTATTTGAGCTGGACAGACATAAAGCAGCAGCATGGAGAAGGCCTGGTGATGACACAGCTTGGAAGTCCTGATGCTTCAGGCTGGTGGCAGCTCACCAGCTCTTGTTGGAGAGCAGTTCATGAATGTGAAATGCAACCTGAGTTAATAAGACCTGACTTTACATCAGCACCATTATCCTGTCTGCACTCTGACCTGGCTCACTGCTGAGCTCTCCTCTGCCCCCAGTCCTCAAGGCTAAGTCAGGACCAGCCAGGTTGCCTATATATCCTTCCAGCATCCTGGCCTTTTCCCCATTTCTGTCTTCCACCATAAAGACTGATCTATTCCTGAAATCACAGCAAAAGAAATCTTCCTACTTAGGTACAGACTTTTTTTGCCGGCATTTGCATACTAGTGGTATAAAATAATCAGGGAAAATTGCTTGAACAAATAAAAGTAATGATAGCTAGAGATAATGTGGGAGAGCAATACTATCTCAGATGATTATCAACTAGAACTCCAGTCATTAAGGATATACAGTAAGTTTAACACTCACAATGGTTTGGGGCAGCCTTTGCTATAAACCAAGTTCTGTCTCAAAACAGATGCATGAACTACAAGATATATTTTAGACTGTTTCAGTATATATAACTGTTCTACACAGCACTATTTATTTATTAGCTTAGTTTAAGATTTAAAAAAAATCCTGAGCCAGAGATGAAGGAAGCACTAGCACCAGCACCTAGCTGAGATCTCTGGTTGGTGAAATGTTGGATTTGTGGTGCAAGCATGTGAGAGAAGTAAAAAAAAAAAAAAAAAAAAAAGCAGCTGAACTTGTTGGTTCCGATTTTATTCTTACTTAACATATGTAAATATATTGACTCACACACATGGGAATACTCCCAGTTCACAGTGATGTAAGCAAAACCAGAATCAGGCTTGATTAGTCTGACAGGCTTTGATGAATGGAAAGAGCTAAATTTGTCCTGTGGAAGGAGCAAGGTTAGCAGAAAGTGAGACTGTGTTCTTGCTTGCATCTGCCTGGAGTGGGTGCTACCACCGTTGGCTGGAGAGGATGGGGAAATCTGATTTCATTCAAATGACAGAATAAAATGCAAAGCAGCTGAGACTTGGGCTTCTGCTAAATTTGGGGCTGCCATTGTTTCTCTATCTACAATGGAGCTGCCCTGTTTTACACTAAGGTGAGGAAGAACAAGTCCTGCTGCCAGGCTAGCAGCACTTTCCTCTTTTTCTCTGAAAGGACTGCTACCCTTTGAAGAATATCTTTGCATAATTTTCCATAGTTAAAAAGCTGAAACTAAAGAAAATGTATACGTTATTTTTAGAAACAAGCTCTCAACCAAATTATGTTCCTGGTGCTATCAGAAGATACTTATTTAAGTACAGAAGGATATCATAGTTTACACAGCTGAAGAGACACGTTAGTATTCAAATACATCTGAGATAAAATGGTAGCCTGAATTTCTAAGATAAACCCAAAGGCTTACTGCTGGGAAGTTATGGAACAAAAACACTGGATTGTGTCAGAGGTATTCTGCTGCCCTAAAACTGGAGCATTGAAAATACTTGGCTTTCTAATGACACCTAAAATGCATAGTATCTCAGCAAAAATATGATAATTAAAATAATTTATTTCAATAATAATAGTTTAATATTCATTATAACTGTTGGCTATTCAGGAAGAAAAGTCAACAGGAAACATTTTTTCCGTTCTTTCTTTTAGCTTTCCTTTCATTTTCTTGATTATAATTAATTCAACTTTCTCTTTTTACTACCCTCATACATTTATTTCTCCAGGTGGAAAATAGCCTGTCTTCTCTAGCTTCCCACCTTCTTTTCATTTTATTCCCTTTCCTCCTGCCCTTCCACCCTTTTAAAAGATTTTTATTTTTATGGGAACATAAATAATAATGCTACTTGCCATTTATATAGCAGTTTGCACATTCAAGGTACTGCATTGACATTACAAATTGAGTAAGAACTTTCAAGAATCTTCTGATTCAGCACTATTTATCACAGAGGAAATGGAAAATTAGAGCCCCTTTACTGACCTTTGCAGGGCAGTAAAGCCCTTCCCAGAAAGTCCCCCCTTACTGCTGTCTGATGAATTGCTGTTGGCAGTCAGGGCTGTACTTCAGCAACACGGGAGAGCCCCCGTTGCCAGGGGGCTCCAGATGAATTTGGAGTTCTGCACAACCCTGTTAACTTTGCTCCTGTAGGAAAGCTACATTCATACAGAAGAAGGAGGTCAAATACAGGCTACTATATTTTTTTAAGCAGAACAAAGAATATAAAATAAGAATACAAAATAGGTACTAGCAAAATTTATAGGAAGGCATTGCAAATTTAAGGGGGTGAGCAGAAAAAGACTGTTTCAATTTCTTTTTTCTCTAATTATTCTAGTTGTATAAAAATTTTTTTTTTAGTCTATCTGTCTCTGCACTCTCTAAAATAACATTGAAAGAAGACAATTCCGAAGAAGTAGCAAGAGTGTTAGAAAAACTGGGCTGGCATGCTATTCCTTTTTATTCCCTCCTTTAAAACCTGTTCAGAGCCTTTCCAGATTATATATGGCACAGATCTGTCCTTTTGTTCATATAAAATCCCACCCTAAAATGGTGTGGTCTCCTCTTTCCACTGGAAGTAATACATCACTTTAGCTGTGTCACCTTTACATTACATTTAAATTTTAAGCAGGTGCTTTGAAAGTAGGAAGAATTTTTAACACATAATCCCCGAATAACTGGCAGCAAATGACTCTTTCTATGCTGGTACTACATCTTCTGCAGTTTCACACTCATTATCACCTAGGCATGAGCTTGTTAGAAAAGAAATCCCTGAAGATTTCTACGACATCCTACCATCAGCAATGTTGCTCCAAGGGCCAAACAGAAAACCATAGGTCCAGTGAGGTCTGTCTCGTTCATAATGCTGCCATCTGCAGGCTTCATTGGGTTTAGAACTGTTAATGTTTTCTGCCATATATGCTCAAAATTGATCCCAAGTTCTGCAACAAGAAATTTCAGGATTTCGTTAATTGCTCACAAGAAAACAACACTTTTACAAAACTCCATTAGACACCACAAAACTACAAACAAATGCTTCAGTGAAGATAATATTGTAGGATGACGTACTCTGTATTAGGAACATAATGTCCCTGCTATGTACTCAGTATATTTGAGAGTCAGCTTTCATTCTAAATTGGAATATTAATGTATTAAGTCTGATTTTAGTCAGTGAAGCAAAAAATGGCCGCAGCGTTTTTGAGTTAATATTTGTTTTTCCTATATTTAAAACGCACATATCTAATGCCACACTAGCAGAGATGTTGAGAAACACATTAATTAACAATAACTGCAGAATTTAAGATACTCTGCAACACTGAGGACAGAGATATATACTTTAATTCTGGAAAATCTGACAAGAAATGTGTCTTAAGCCTGAACTGCCAAAAGCACTTAAAAATGACATTTGTTCATTCAAGGCAAGTTTATACTACTTTATACAGTGCTTTATAAGCTTAGGGGTTTGTAATGTGGTTGTTTTTTGGTTTTTTGGGGGTTTTTTGGGTGGCAGATATTTGCATTTGAAAAGTAATTAGTGAGACCCCAAGAAACAGAAGAAAATTCTGTCCCATTAAAGGTGATGGGAATGCTGCCATTAACTTTGCTGGGGCAAATCTTTATCTTATAACTTCTGGAGAAACATTTCATATTGCACGAGTAATCATCTTCCCTGAGATTCTCCAGTAAGGGGAAAATTAGGTTCAGATCTGCTGGCAAAATGGCTGAGACTGACAATGAGTTAGATCTGTTAGGAAAGCCAATTCTTTACCTTGTTCCACCTCTCCATCATCTTGAGCTCAGTCAAAACACTGCATATATAAAGCTATTCTGCATTAAAATGTGTGGGTTTGGTCAGATTTATGTGGTACACAGATAGGAATATCTCTAAAGCCTTGCAGATCACAAGCAGTTGTATTACAACATCCTTGTCCCAGGGTGAACCACATGGGGAGTTAAATGGTTGGGGGTTTTAGAGGTAGAGATCTAGCAGTTATCTATATCAAACAGAATGATCTTGCTGGCTTTAAGGCAGTAGTAGTCCCTTTTGAGTAGCTAAAACTCCAGCTGCCTTCCAGTATGCAAACTAGCAGGCTGAATATGCTCATTTTACATTATGCTGAAATAATTACAGACAAATTCTCCCTTTTTTTTTTCCTAATACAGCACAAGTATTTTACTAGCGACAAAATCAGCCACTAGCATTAGAATGGTCAATCATCATAAAGAACGGCATTGCTCATACAGTTAAATGATCAACTAATTGGAACTGAAAGCAGCTTTCTCAATTCCTTCCCCACTGAAACAAGCCACTTAGCATCTGCAAACTCCTAAATCTATTACTAGATACGCAAAAAAAGATGATTATCCATCTTCATTAGTTATAGATTTTCCAATATGAACAGAGGATAAACGCAAGAGGGGAAACAATTTTGGAAACGTGAATGAATGCAAAACTATTGTTCTGCTGTCATCTAGCGGTGGCACAGCATATCTGCTCTAGGCCACAAGGCTGCAGGAATCCAGGGTGGATTCGAAGGAGAAAACGCAGGTTTGGCCGCCAGGAGCTTTGGCTGAAGCTCACAGAGCGAGGCTTGCCAGTTCTGCTGCAGTTTCTGTAGTGAGTTCCATCCTCTAGCTGGCAGAGAAAAGTTACAGGCACCCCCAGGAATCCTGCATGTTGTCTGCGGGACTAGTTGTGTTACAGATACATATTATAATATTGGCTTTTCACAAATATTGAAATAGATTTTATATGCGTAATGTTAAAGTAACTTTGTTATAATGATATAATTTTATTTCTGTTGTTAATTAAGCTAAGACATAGTAGTGAAATAGCTGATATAATATACTTGTGTTAAAACACCTGCTTAGATGAGATAACATCCAAGGAACATGTGAAGAAAACACCTGCTACAGATATGCCAACTATCAGCACTCACCATCTGAAGACAGCGTGAGCCAGAGCCAAAACTGAAAATAATGATAAAAAAAGACTAAAAGCACAACCAAAGAATACACATGCTCTAAAAAGGCAAATCCGAAGAGGAGATATGCTAAACAATTCTTAGAACATGCAAACTAGTTTGAAGGAAAAGTTTACTATTCATAAGAGTCTATGAATATGCAAGAGGCTGATGTGAGGGACAAGGTATTTGAAGGGTGTCCCCAAAGATAACAGCGTGCTCCTGGCTGAGTGCCGAGGTACATCCAGCCCCAATAACCTTTGCTCTGTAGTCCTTGTCTCCTATTGTCCTTTATTAAACTTTTTAAACTTTCACAAGAGGGTGAATGTGTTTTTCACAGTTTTACCTTCTAGCAAAGGAGGTTCCTCGTCAAATCCGTCAACGTAACCCAGCTGGGAAGGAGCGTCGGGGCTGCAGGCTGGCTGCAGGATGCTGCCCGAGTAGCTCTGCTGCGGGGACAGCAGCATGTCTGATGGCACAAACGCCCCGCCTGCAGGCTGCTCCTCTGCCTGGCGCCTGGGACAAGGAGCAAAGCACGAACTCATAGCTACAGTGAGAAACGTCTGTTACAGATGGATAATGAGACGATTGGCTCTCGCAATTAAGGGATAATTATTGTGTGAATATTAAGAAAAGTTTAGTGATGTGTAGTTCTGCTGTTGTAGTTTAGATGTCCTCTGCTCTCCTCATAGTTCCCTTTTCCCCCTGTATTGTTGCCATCAGACAGCTGGGGTAGTCTAGGACAGGTAAAAAGAAGGGGGGCACATGTGTCCCTTGCATGGGGCAGTTGGGAATGGAAAAGCTTGCTGCTTAGGGGCTGCGGCATGGCAACACCTGACCTACAATCAAGTTACAAGAAAGCAGTTTCCCCCAAAAAATGACAAAGAAGAGCTGACTGACAGACGTCGGGAGTGGCCAGGGTTAGCTGATGCAACCCCCAGGAGTATAAAAGACTGAGCATCCACCTTGAAGATGAACTGGCCACATGGTGTGTACTAGGGGCAGTTCCCAGTGCTGCAGCTTTTTCCTTATGTAGTCCTTTTGATGTATTTTTGTCAAGGTTTAATAAACCTTTTTAAATTTTCAAAGTGAGCAGTTGTTTCTTATATGTCTTAGATCTATTCACCATGTTCCACCTACTTTACAGCTATTTTCAGTGTGGGGAACCTGGATTTTTTCTGAGTCCAGTCCTCGCTGTGGGTAATGAGAGCTGAACTGCTGCCTGTGCCTTTGCAGCTCCCTCTGCCTGCCGGGACCCTGCAGCCCCCATAGCCACTGCCACTGCCACATCCAGGCACTTGGGGCTTCTTTCCCCAGCAGCCTGGCGACACTCCTCAGATAGGTCCATACTGCTAATGAAAGAGCCATACATTTAAATTTTTCCTTGAATCTCGGAAGGATCCTCAAGAATTTCCTGCAATATGCGGCCTAAATTTCACATGAATTACATGAAGCTCAGTTACTCCTGTCAGGTAAACAAGCTGTAAGACCTCTACTAATAAAAGTAGCACAAAATCAAATCCTTTAAAAAGAAAAAAATCACTTATAAACATTCTGCCTTTCTGAAAGTTTAGATGATGTCTCAAACTTCTTTCCTGCTCCTGCAAGCCCCAAAGCCGGCCCCAGAACCACCATCTGTTGAAGAGGGAAGCTGAAGCAACACCCACACTTACTTTCTGCTTTCACAGGGGTTTTTGTCTGAGCCATAGCTGTTGCAACCTTCTTCCTGGTCCTCTATGGTATAATTAGACTGGTAAAAGTCGATGTGAAACTGCTCAAAACTTGACATTCTGGTTGGAAAAAATGATTGCAAATATCATAAATAGCCTTTACAACAAGCCAAAAATCTATATTTTGAACTGCCCTAAACTTAAATTAAAATAGCAAACTGTAAAGCCCCAAACTCAAGAGAATTTTTCTGTAGAAGCTCATGATAATTTGGAAGTGACACAAAAAAGACCATTTAATTCCTTTAGCTGTAACAAGAGGGATTAATCTGCTTTTACTGGAAATTACAGTATATTAATTTAAAAGTGGTATATCAGACTTCCTATCTCAATATTGTTACCAAAAATAATGCAATTTTGAAGGAAGATATATATCTACAAAATATTTTTTAAACAGTTCATTTTCCTACTTTCAATAAAAAAATTGTGACCCTATGTCAATGTTTAAAAATGAAGGTTTTAGGAAGTACTTAGGATTTCAAAAACAATTACTATTTACAATGTTTTGCAATATTATATATGACTGTAATAAAACAATAGGAAAAAATCCCAGGTTTGTTTACAAAATCTGTGATTTCTGTTCAAGGACACAGCTGGCACATCAGTGGTAGCAGAGCCACATTCTCACTGGGCAGCAACATGACTGGTAAAAGACAGCATACTAGATGTTTGAATTGGATCAATGATTGGATGATTCCTCAGTGAAAAGATATGCTAAAGAATATATTTCCTTCCTACTGCATGTGTTTCCCCACTTGGCTAGCACTTAGGTAGTTAAGCCCTTAAAACCCACAGAGAAGTTACATAACCTGACTGAAAACCATAGCCATATCCAACTTAGATTTTCATGTGAGATATTCATCTCTCCTAACATTTCTCTTTTTTTTCACTTTTGTCCTCATTTCCAACTTTCCAAATGCCATTGGCAAAATATGCTTTGGACCTCGCAGTTATTCTTAGAGTTATCTCAATATTTATCAAGCACACTCTGCTTATGGGAAAGATCTTTGCAAATCTCTTTGTAAGATAAAAGTGATAAAGATTACTATTTCATCAGGGACCTTAAAATGCTGCATATTAGAATTTTTGATTTTTTTCCCCATTATCAGTCTAATCTTTTGGGACTTACTTCCTTATTTTACCTAGAGTTCAAAGTAGAAAATGCTCTTATATTATTTTCTTAACTCCTGATCAATTGCAGGTTTTCAAAGTAATTTTTACATTTTAAATATTGATTAATAGAAATTATTTTACCAAGCTATTTACTGTGGCTTTATTTGGAACTGCACACCATTTAGTCATTCTTTCAATGAAGATTTCACACAGGGCATGTTTTAAGAAACTTTAGTTGGTAGCTCTACCTCAATAGTTCAATTCTAGTAAGTATTTAATGTCCTTTTCTGTCACTATACAGAATGAAATAATTGCTTAACCAGGTAGGGTTAACAGAGTTCAGAAAAGATAAATTTATTTTCCAAAAGAATTTAGAGTTAAGGTTACTTACGTTTTAATATATTTGGTGAAAACTCCAGTCTGTTGAATTTACATGTTGAAGAAGACCTAAAATATCCTCTTGCTTCAACAGGGATGAGCTTAGTGCTATTTATAAGATTCTAAATTTGATATTTGAACAGATGCACATGAAGGAAAAAAACCTCACAACCTGTCAATATCAGGGCCAGCATTTAAGAAGAGCTAACAACAATGGGCAGAGAAGGGTAGGAACCTTCGAGGAAAAATGAACAAAATGAACAAATATTGTTCCATATATTTCAACTCAATAATCTAGATTCCCTCTGAAGTAAGTATTTATGAAGATCTTGGTGGAGCCCTCATTAGCTGAGCTGTTGGACATTAAAAAGGGTAATACTACCTGTTAAAGCAGAGGGCTGAATACACTTATTTGAGGGTGTGTTTCCAGCAGCCAGAGCCCTGGAATGGCTGTGGGATGCTCCCTGGGAACACTGTGGCAGAGGGAAGGAGAGAGGCTGAGCACCCTGCTGGGCCAAGCCCCTGTGCTGGTCCAGTGCCAGAGCCCTGTTCTCCGGGCACATCCCCCTGCCCCACTGCTCCTCCAGGGGCTCTCTCTGCTTGCAAAGCTGTCTCCTGAAGTGCAGTACCCACCATGCCAGGAGCAGTGCAAGGAACCTCTGTTCCATAGTCCTGGCTACTAGGAAACAGCAGCACAGGCTGGATTTTTAAATAGATTTCAAGCTTCAAAGATGACTTTTCAATTTACACCTGCTTTTGTTTGACAAACTTGACTAACCACAAAAAAGGCTGCTTTTTTCACTTTATTTATTGGGTAGTTTCCCCAAAAAGCACTTGGGCTGTTAAATTTAAGGAATGCAACATTAAATTATATGTATTATCAGGTAATAAATCTATGCCTCAGGTGCATATTCAATCCTGTGATGTTGAAGGCCAAATAATTCCATTTCATTAGCAGAACAAAGATGAACAGTTAGCACATGACTTACAATGTTATAGAAGAGTTATAACATAAGTGCATTTTAAAATAAAATGAAGTTTACCAAGTTTTTGCTCAGTAAGTATGTTCAAGAAAGAGTTCAGAAGTAAAGCATGGTGAAAAGAAGAAAAAATGTGACATTTGATTCTGAAGATTAAGGGTAATATAATTACAGTAGTTATCACAGCTATTGTTACGTCTCCCTCATGTTCTGCTATTTCTAGAGTAACAGTTTATGCTGCTACATCCACCTAGGTGAAATTTCATATTCAACTCATAGCAAACTGCTAACCTCTATAATGTTTGATCATCTCAGTTTAGATAAAATGGCTTCATCTTGTTTATACTGAATCCATGGAGGCAATGATACAGGATTAACTTCTGTCCCTCGGGAAGGTAATTCAAAAATTTCTTTTTAGGAATAGAAAAAAATCCTGATTTGCTAGGGTTTTGCCTGTTTATTTAAACTATAAAAGTGATTTGATTACTTTTGCTACTTTCTGTTAGAAATACAAATATATATACCTCTATACAAAAATGGGAATAATTATCAGACAAAAAACTTCCCAGGAGGATTTTAAATAGAAAAAATTACAATGAATTGCATTGGAATGTGGTGAAATAATACTTTAAGAGCCATTTAATATACCACAGTTAGACAAGAAAGCCACCTGTAAATCAAAAAGAGATAAAAAAAGGAACTTAAAATTGAGCCATATATATTTCTCTCCTTATATATAATTATTATATAACTTATGATACATATTATATATAAATTATACACATATGTTATATTAATAGCCCTGTGGATATGCACGTATAAATAGACACAAAATATAAAAATAGAAGATAATATTAGTTGGAAATTAGAAGTAGATGATTTTAAAAAAAGCTAAGTTTAAGTAGCTGATAGGAAAGTGACTGGTCGAAATAAGGACTGCTCAAGTGCATTAAAAGCAGACAAAATTTTATTGCTACTGCCATGCTCCTAGCAGGTGTAAAAATAAAAGTATCAATAAACAAACAGACAGATGCATTTATTAGAAATGCTAAAAGCACCATTTTAAAATTCTGCATCTAAAAGTTTTAGAAGAAATGGTTAAAAACTTTCTATATTGTTGAGTAACAAAACAACAGGAAAGTTTGGGAAGATCAAAAATAAGTAAACATGCTATCCTGTAAAAAACTAAATAAGATGCCTTGAGTAATTATAGGCCGGCTCCCATGAGATTGATCCTAGCAAATTATGGGCTCAGATAATAACTAACTGCATTGATGAATCCAATCAACATGGGCTTTTGGAAACGAGCTCATTTCAAAGTAATTTATTTCCTAACAAGATATGTACTTGGGAAAGGTAACCACCAGTGACCCATATTTATACAAGGCCTTTTACTTTATTTTGGTTCAATAGATATGTAACCATCCCTGCTTAGTGTGACACCCATTATACTGATTAAATAGGTGCTATCTGATGTGTCTCAAATGTAATTGGGAAAGAGGGGAGGATTTGCATTGATGCCTTACAGGACAGAAGCTTTCCAAAGATCACCTAGCAGACACTCAGGTGTGTCACAGGTACCTGATGTTCAGTCCATCACTGAGAGACCACACCACACAAGGCTGTCACAGATGCATTAACATAAAGGAAAAATAAATTATCGCACTTAAAGCCTTTAGAACAGAGTTTGAAGATATCTTTACTTTCTTTGAATGGCAGGTACAGAGGATGTTAATAATCTACAGGGGAGATAGTTTGGATGAGATCTCATCCTCAAAGATGAGAATGAGAATTTAAGCTGGGGAATACAAAAAAGATGAAGAAAATTAATGAAAAGTGTGAGAATTTCTAGAAGTAATTCAAAACTTTTCTTAAAGGTGAACTCCTAGGTTTTAATTTACCTACTTTTTTCCATCTTTCCTGAAAAGGAAAATAGATGCAGCAAAAAGTGAAATTTCATCCATTTTCATAAGTTTACATTTTCATTTTCAGGTTTTGTTTTTTATGAAATGGGATGATACTTCAACTTTTTAAAAGTTTGAAGTGAGCATTTTTTGAAAAAAAATAATAGAATTAAATGAGAATAAACGGGAAAAGATAGAAAAGACTATAGAACTCTGGCTTTAGACTCAGCGATGTAACCCTACGTTTATTACTCAAAGTAAGCTGATGAGTACGGCCAATTCATTATAATAATTAGTCAATAATTTTATAGTTTTTTAAATGTAAAAATTGATCTAATTAAGGATTAATTCAGCAAACCTTAAGCTTAATTACTTACATTTACAGACCCCATTAATAATTTCATAAGTGGACATTATTAAAATGTGCTCCTAAAGAAGAGAGGAAAATTTAATTGCAAAGAAATATACCATTTGCTATGAAATAGGGGTTTTTTTACCACATTAATTACTTGCATTATATAAAGTGGCTGCTTAGTGAATTTTATGTCTCAGACATATCATTACTGCAAGGGATAAATTCTTTCCTGTAACCAGTCTTCAGAAGGTGAATAAGATGCAAATTTTAAAAAAGAGAAATATGAAGCTATTAGTGTTTTCTTTTTTTATGCATAACAAGTTTGCTAGACTTGAACAAACAAGTGAGAAGTTACAGGTTCCTGCATGAGTAATTGTACCTATCAATACCCATTACAAATCAAACACACAATTCTCCAGCTAGTCATTATTAGGAAAAGACAGTAAAACAGAGGGCATCATTATGTCCCTGCATGTATCTGTGATTCACTGACAAGTTGAATATTATATGCAGTTCTAGCTGTGCTCTCTCTGAAAGTATTTGGGAGGATGGTGACCTGCTGAGAGAAGAGCAAGGGAGGTGTGTGTGGAACAGGCTCCATCTAACAACAACCAGGTCAGGTCCTCGGGCTGGAGAAGCAATGATTAATTGGGGTTTATGAAACTGTGTGACAGGGACTGCTGGGCAGGGAAAAGCTGGGGCCTCTTTCTTCTGCAAGACAAACAAAATTCAAAAGGATTTCAAAACTAGGAAAAAAAAAGGTTCGTGAGTGACAGACTGCTGGAAATCCATGTCAAAGGAAGTTATGCATGTTAAATATCTCTGCGGATCTGGAACAAGTCCATGAGAGTTAAAACAACCAAGAATTACTGAATGCATAGAAACATGCAGCTCAAGAAGCCAATAAACAAGCAAAAGTGGAAGACTAGAAAAATATTCCTGGGAAGAATTCATGATCATCCTTGTGTATTCAATCATTGTCATTGTTAAACAGGGAATTCCTGTTTTGACTTATATAACCATTCAAATCCTTCATGTTTGTGGAGGAGGAAAGCAACACATAAGATTACAGATTCAAATCTAAACAGGGAAGTAACTCACTGCATAAGATCATAACATCCTTAATTCTCCATGGGCTCAATTTGCTGACTTCCAACAATTACCAAAACACTGCTTTGTATGACTTCTGTGATACCTTTCCTTCCACTCAGCTTCTACTTCTGCTTGGAGTCCTTGTCCTCCCACCTCTGTTGTGAGTTAGCTGACTTCTGGTTTCGGATTCATAACATACATCTTCTCCATCCAGCCTTTTGTTCTATCAGAAGCACAAAAAAACCAAAACCAACCCAACCCAACAAATCAATGAACAAAACCACCAAAAAAACCAAACAAAAAACAACCCTTTAGATGAAGCTTTTCTTGATGTATGAATCACACACAAGAGCTGATTCCTAGCTTGGTTCTTTGGTGTCTAATAAGCATGAGAGACGTTTTTATGTTTTGCTTAGTGTAGGTACCAACACAATTTCTTATCTCCTGGTAGTTGACTATTTTCATGACATTTGTAGAAACCTTATTAGCATTAAGAGCTCTCTCTCTCTGTTCAACATATTCAAAATTACCCAACAAATTCAAAATTTGGAGAATGCCAAAACAGGTAGATAAGGAGCATGGTACAACATTAAGAAATAAAGGCTTGAATGAATTTGAAAAGATAGCAATAAACAAATCTCACTTCATTAATTTTTCCTTTTTTGTGTTCTTGTATCCTTTCTGTTGTTTCACTCTAGCACAGTTTCTTT